TGATACGCCTATGTGATATAAACAACCTTCCTCTCAGCTCGCCTATCCTTCGGTTTGTTAGTATTCCGACAAAACAAACCCTGTGCTAAAAGATTATAGTTACTTATCAAGATAGTTTACTTATTTATATGAGGGGTATACCGATTGTTTGAGAGCATCTATTGGATTAAACTTTTTTAAGTGTCTTGTCATCTGGTATATTTTAAAATACCAAATGTTTTTTTGTTTGCTAACTGGTCACTTGTAGTTTTTTTTACTATCTGCAACCATTTTCTGTAATTTCGCTAAATGAAAGTGAAAGTTTTAGTTTATTCGCCACTGCTATTTAAAAATTAAAGCTGGGATGATGAGCCGGTTTTTGTAGCATTAAATAATAAACATAACAAGGAAACTACAGTAGCTATAGAGAAACAAATAACAATGCTAAAAATTTCAACATCCTGTAGATCGGTAACGAAGCGTTTACTGAACTATATTTATATAACTTTTTAGTCATTGTCATTCGCCGAAAAATTACCTCTATCCGTATGTACATGATATTTAAAAACGCCATGTATATTGTGTTTTTGCCGGTGGACCACCCGCGATGATGATAGTTCCTTATTGCCCTCTTTTTTAGGACACAATCAATAGCCTAATAGGCATTAATTTAAGGTCAGGACTGCGTGAAAAATGCTGAGAGAATAACGTAGATAGAAATGAAATGTATTTTAAAAACAATTATAATTAAAGCACTAAAATTGAACCGAAAATTCTGAAAATCAATGCTTACGTCCTCAGCTAGATGAGATAATAAAATAATGTGACGCGAAGTCAACCCTGTTCCTTGTTTATTACCGTACCGCGACAGGAAGTCTGGCGCTGGTCACATCGAGGCCCATCTCGAAACTCGAAAAATCGATTCGAATGTTTTAAATTGCAGTTTTACGCGTGTAGGACAATTTCTAGAACTTCCAGATTGAGCATCTAGTCAGAGTTGGTTCTTTCGAGAGCGTTATATTTTTATATTTATCTACGCCCATGAGATAAGAACTTCTTATCCCATTCCTTTTGCGTGAGATAAGTTTATTAACGCACGCGTTTTCCTTATCTCGGTGTTTTTCAATCAATCTAATAAAAAGGTCAAAATGTCATAATCTATTTAAATTTAATAACAAATTATTGTCACAATCTAAAGTAACAAGTAACTTTATTTAAAGCTTGTTCTTCAATATCAGATGGCAAACTTTCCAAATCACTCATTTTATTACTAGCAAATGCAAAAATACGTTAAAAATTAATTATTTTTGACTTATTGTTTATGACAATATTATCGTTGCTAAGAAAAGAAAACGTTTTTGTTCTTGTTAAAACCGTCACCCAACATGTGTCGCTAATCAACATGTAGGCAATGGTGGAGAACAATAACCCTAAATTAAGTCTTAGACAAAAATTATAATTACCGTTTATTTTTTTATTTAGAGGCGTAGATAAAAATGTGTACAATATACGTGTGTGATAACACTTTATTGATGTTCTTCTGCGATTTCCCAACTTCGCATGCGTACGTTAATAAAGCTCTTATCCCACTTATATCGTAATAGTTTTTTTTGTGTCATCGGCATCAACTGCTACGGTTATTAGCCTCGTGTTCTGTGTAGGCTTTGTTACTGTTTCCCAGCGCCACTTTAGGAACAGCACTGTTAATTAGTATCCAAAAGTGAATAGTTATTTACGATTTACTTATAAAAAAAAAAAAAGTATTTCAATAAAAAAAAATTACTTTTGAACCCTGTATCTTTTTTTATATCAAGAATTGAACTAAGGTAAAATTGTAAATGTGTAAATTCATAGTCACTGTGTCCCATTATTAACGGATCACTCTGTATTAGATACAATATTTGGATCAACTAATAATTTCAATTAAAGACTTTTTTTATAAATATATCCTCCCACTTTTTCTATTGGATTAAAGATTATTAGCCTGCAATTTTAAAAATAGACCCAACGGGTATGATTTTCAATTTAGACAACTTATTACTTGTGATAATATAACCAATAATAATAGCCGGTTTCACATAAAGTTCACCTCTCATTTAAATTAAATACGTCATTTTTATGATTACAGCTGTACAATGAAATATACAACTAAACATCACTCACATTTATATTAAATCCAGAGTTGAAACGTCCCCGCCAATTCTGGTTCTGGATTACACGATTACAATTTCTTTGAGTGCTTTTTTACTGATTCTCATCTGGATGATTACTTTCTCGTGGTACTGCTGATCTATTTTCAGATGGGTTTGATGGGATTACTATTTGCATACCCTGCTCTTTTAATACGTTCTTATTCCGATTCACCCGCTTCAGGTAAATTATTTTGTTTTTATTTGTGACGTCTCTGTCGATGCATATTTTCGTACCAGCATTTTTTTATTTTGATTGATTCTCAGCTCTCGGAAATAATATGTAATGGGGTATCAGGGGATCTAAGGCATGAAGGTATAATACTGTTACCCTGCAGTAACCTGCGGCTGTAATAGGAAACGTACTCATAAAAAAAGAAGTGCAATGTCACCAATCACCCTACAACACATACTTTGATTACTATACGAGGCAAGAGAGAGGTCCGACACGCCCAACATAGGGCGCGGCCATTTTGAACCCTGTGACACAGTTTACAGCTAAAGAATCAGATCGCTCATTCTGCGTCGGCACTTTTGATCTCAATGTTTCAGTTTATACACTGTGCAACTCGGATAATACAATATATGACAACCGCCTATAATAAAACAGCAGTCTTCTGCGTATCCTGAATTTGTATCCCTGGAGTGGATGTTATTTTGGAACTTTCAACTGGTCCGAACGAGCTAACTGATTCTTTAGCAATAAACTGTGACTTCAAAAATAATATTCACTGACACTGACAGTAGCAAGCAAAATATCAGGTGCGTTTTAATCATCCGCTTCTGCTTCCGGAATTGTCGGTTTAGTCGTTTTAACCTGTCAGATTAAAACAAAATAACCGACAATTTCGAAGCAGAAGCGGATGATTAAAACGCACCTATTAAAAATATTGCGCCAAGATGTAGGCAACACGTAATAAGGGTTCAAAATGGCGGAGTTTTCTATCTCCTTTTAAAAGGCATTCAGAAAGCTACGCAGTGCGACCATTATCCGTATAGTAAAAGAAAATCAAAGGATGTGCCCTACAACCTGCTGCGGTCGCCATAAGTAAAATTTCAAATGAAAGAAGAGGGAAAAATAGTCTAGAAATGTCAGTCCATGGTAAGAAACATCTGGACAGTTCGAGAAGGTTAGAGAAGGTTCAAAGAAACTATATAGTTTACAGTTGAATTGTAAAAGTTAAGTTGTTAATAAATTGAGTTACCAATACTAAAGACAAGGAATACTTACTTAAAAAGTAAATATGTTGGAAGGTTATTGACAACTAGCAAAAACAGTAATGGTCCCAAGTTAGATTCATGTGAAACTCCTTAAATAGCATGAAATTTTGCCGAAATATTACCATTATGCCTCACAAAATCTGTTTAAAGTTACTCTTAAAAACATTACCAGATAATTTAAATATATTTTTCCTACGACCACTTAGGAAAGTGACACATATCACACTATATAGACCTATGGAAAGTGCCCTATATCACACGCGTATGAATAAGAATTTACTTTCCACCCAAGTGAGAATAATATGCTACTTTCCGCAGTAGCTGTCAGAAAATGTCAAACACATAATTTCTATTTTGATCTATGTAATGTCCATATTAATACTAAAATCGATATGATTGTTAAATTATTGTAAATTAGATCCTAGATATTTATCTTTAACAATTATTTTTAAAATAATTTTAAAATAACTAAGATATATTTGCTTTTTATTGTTATTGTTATTGTCTGTGCTATGTCATTACGCACGTTAGTGACAGATGCATTATTTAAGCTGTTTTATGTCATTGTTGATCTTAAATGTTTTAATTCTTCTCAGGGCAGAAAAGGAGTGCTCTGGGATACATGAGATAACAGGAATGTTCTGTTATATCAGATATGCAAGAAACTTTGATATTTCTGCTTTTTAAGTTATCTAAAAACATATCTCTATGCAATTTTAGTCGCTCAGATTCATCATCAGATTTGTAAAATTCGGAAACGTATTCTAAATCGTCATTTTCTCCAATAACGAATTTTTCAAAAAGATTTAAATGCGTCATTGTTTCACTTGAAAATCTATTTGGAAGACCTGAAATAGCAGTGTCTATTGCTTCTCAAAACATTGGTCGGTACATATCAGTGGCTGCATTAAAAATGGGACCAGATTGCCCACTGTCATATCGTGTAGGTAAACGACGCTTACGTGGTAAACACTGTAAACAGGGACTCTCTATATCAAAATTTCCTTCAAATGAAAGAAATTCTTTCCAGACCGCATTTAAATTATCTCTTAATTTTTTTTAAAGAAGAAATAACTGAAAGAACATGCAGTAGCATTAGCTTCGGAAAATTGCAGGTTAGAGTTTTGCAATACGTTATGCTGAGCGTTCTGTTTATTTTTTTATGATGTAAATAACAAAGCGCATCAAAATAAGCAACACATTTCAATAAAATTAATTTATCAATTAGTAAAAAAAATATATTATTTTATTGATTATGCAAAAAAAATCTGTGTTTAAGTAACCGCAATTAGTTATTGTTCTAATTGGCTGCCACTAAGCAACTACGGAAAACATATTGTTTTTTAACGTTTTTCCGGGGGCTTCTAATTTTGATCTTAGAACTTTTTTATCTTCGAAAAATGTTCCAATAAAACCTCGAATTTTTATTTCTCAAACCTATTTCACCAATTCATTGGGCCTTTGGACTGAATAATACAGTACAAAAGTGTTTATTTAGATATGCCAACATCTTATTTTAGAACGTGACCTGCTGTTGGCACCAGACTATCAGTTTTATCTTTATTCTTTCTATATCTGTGCAATTGTTCAATCAATATTTTTCATTTTTAGATTAAATCAGAATCATTTTTGGAAGATTTGAACAATGTTCTGAATTCAGGCGACGTACCCAATATCTATGCACCTGAAGAATTAGACAGAATATATCAAGGCATGAAGGGTCCAGTTCAAGAATTAGGACTGACAGCGACCAAGTCAAATTTGTTTGCAGTATACCAACGTATGGTTAAGTCATATTTGCATGTTGTTCTTGCAATGAGGTATATCACTTCCATTTTAGCAAATTAGTTCCTTAATAAAATGTACACTAACGAATCGCTAATAGAGTTGGACGATATTTCACAGATTATTATTTAGTTATCAATATTTAAATAATTGGTCGATTTCATAAATATTTTTCAGAGAATAAGGAATTTTTAATTTGTTGATTTTAGCACACAGTTATATATTTGAATATTACTCATCCGAGTGTGAAAACATGTTTTTATCCCATCAAATAAAATTTAATATTGTGTAGCTCGTATTTTCGTATTTTCGTATTTTCGTATTTTCGTATTTTCGTATTTTCGTATTTTCGTATTTTCGTATTTTCGTATTTTCGTATTTTCGTATTTTCGTATTTTCGTATTTTCGTATTTTCGTATTTTCGTATTTTCGTATTTTCGTATTTTCGTATTTTCGTATTTTCGTATTTTCGTATTTTCGTATTTTCGTATTTTCGTATTTTCGTATTTTCGTATTTTCGTATTTTCGTATTTTTGTATTTTCGTATGTTCTTTATTTTTGTTTCTATATTATTCTAGATAAATAATAATAAAAAAAAATTAAATATTCTGCACACAAACTTTGTTTGGGCGGGCGAAAAAAATTAAAACTGCATAAATTCATAAATATGATTTGGTGTATAGCGGCTGAGTGACTACACACAGTAACCGTTCTCATGATAGCGACCAACTCTACTTTTTATCAGAATTGATGCGCCTATCTTTAAACAATTACATGTAAGTAATTATTTAAAAATGCTTCGAGAATACTAATATTAAACAAATAAGTTTGTTAGTTCATAAAATTGTTTTTATAAAGAAATGAAAAAGAAATGTCCCTTTTTTACCACAGTTGTTTTGTTTCTATCCTTCAAGCGATTAGGAATCTCAAAAGAAAATAAATATATCCTGTCACTTTGTTTTAAGAGTTAGGAGCTATAGTTTCCGAGTATACCTATAAATCCTAATAAAAGGTTGACAATTGAAACCTATATATTTTCAAGTTTGATAAATCTTTGTCGTTTCAGTCCCATCGGTGAAGTATTTCGAGCAAGATTGAGGCAGTTTCCGGCCCTCGTCAACTGCTGCACAATCGACTGGTTTAGCCCGTGGCCTGACTCGGCATTACAAGTAAGTGTGGCCCATACAAGATCATTTTACTATGCGAATTAATAGGTATGAGATATTTAAATAAATCATTGATTAAGAAATATATCCCCACATCCCCAAAGTAAAAACAAACCAAAGAAAAACTGAAAAAGCTACAAAATAAAAATAAGAAGAAATGAGTGCATCGGGATCAAACTTGGAATCTCCTAGTTGAGCCCTCTGCGCATCTACTAATTGGACTACCGAAGTCGACTTTGTAGAATTGAAATCATCAGATTCCGATTCTCGTCGACACACAGATAAGGCAAAGGATGGCAAAATGAAAAAATATATTGTAATAGATCATCCTGTATACGATGTCTTATAGCGGTATCCAGGGAAATAGATTAGATGGACGTGTGATGAGAATTGTCATTGTATTAAACTTGATCTAATAAAAATATTTATTCTGAGTATTATTTAGAAGATTTCTAAACAATTCCTTACAATATGGCGCAGTCAGAGCAAAACGAACCAATTATCCAGATCAACTATGAAAAAGGAGATGAAGGTACCCAAGACAACATTATTTTTGGAAAAAATGAGTTGGATCAGCTAATGACAAAATGGATGACGTTTGCCACTTCAACTAAAGCAGATCCCATAAAAATTTCTCAATACGACGGTCAAGGTGAGAATCCTTCTTCTTGGCTCAGTTCGTATGAATATATCTGTTCATATAATAAATGGATTACTGATAATGAGAAAATTTTTAATTTGAGAAATCAGTTAAAAGGCATTGCATTAAAATGGTACGAAGATAAAATCCAAGATAGTATACTAAATCAATATACATGGGAAAATTGGAAACTTAGTTTTATCAAGATATTTGATGAAAATGTTGTTTTAAAATGGGAGAAAGCTTTGAATTATAAATATTATAATAGTAATATCCTGGAATACTTTTACGAAAAACAGAAATTAATTAAATGGGCAGATAATAACATTTCTGAACTTTCATTAGTGGCAATGATAATTCTGGGTCTGCCAGTTAATGTTCAGAAACAGTTAAGAGGAAAAATCATCAACTCCAAAGAAGAACTTCTTCAGCTGCTAAAATCCTTAATGATTGGTGAATATCCTGATAAACAGTGGCCAAGAAGAGATTTTCAAATGCAAGGTCAGCCAATAAGTACCAATAAAAAAGACATTAAATGTGAAACTAAAAATATGTTTAATTCTAGTACTGTTGAATTTGAAGATCAAATAAATAATATTGAGATGTATTCTAGTTATTCACTAACAAGTGGAGATAATTTTGAGTATTTATTTTTAAATGGCCAAAAAGTGAAAGTACTGTTTGATACTGGATCAGATATTAATCTGATAGATGAGGAATTAGTTAATAAAAACAAATTTCCTATTCATGAAGTAAATATTTGCATAAGGAGCTTAGCTGGAATAACCAAATGTTTTTTTAGTGCTGAAGTAACTATTGAAATCAATAAACTGCCCACAACTTTTATGGCCGCAGTAGTGAAAGATTTGAATTTTGACATACTTCTAGGACGCCATTTACTAAATAAATTGAAAATATATAAACTGAATTTGAACTTAGAAAAAGAAATTGAATTTACAGAAGATAATATATCCAAAAGATTTCCGAATTTGCTAAAATATAATGATGCGAAACCATCAATCTTTGAGATAGATTTTAATTTAAAAGAAAATGCAAAAATTATTAAGCTGAAACCTTATCGATATTCAGAAAACAAAAGAACATGGATAAAAAATAAGGTTAATGAGTTGCTTAAAAACAAAATAATTACAAAGTCAATATCTCCTTTTGCTTCTCCATGTGTTTTGAACACAAAATCTAATGGGGATTTTCGCCTGTGTATTGATTATAGGAAAATTAATGAGGAAACTGAATTAGATCCATTCCCATTTCCAATCGGTGATGAAATCATTCAAAAATTCGGTGGATGTAAATTTTTCTCAAAATTTGATCTGAAGGATGGTTTTTGGAATATAAGTATATCTAAATTAACGCAGAAGTATACGGCGTTTGTAACAGAAGATGGGCATTATGAATTCACAAGGCTTCCTTTTGGATGGAAAAACTCAAGTGCACATTTTCAAAGAATAATGCAGGAAGCTTTAGGTGAACTACTCGATAAGAATGTAGTAGTCTTCATCGATGACATAATGTGTGGAGGTTTCACTTATGACGAGTGTGCTAAGCTTTCGACAGAAGTTATGGAAAAACTTAATAGATACAACTTTAAAATAAATCTAACGAAATGTAAATTTTGTGTTCCCAAAATTGTGTTTCTTGGTAGGGAAATTGATGGTGATATCAAGAAGATGAAAAATGAATCTATTGAAAAGGTAAAAAATATGAAAAAACCCTATGATTTAAAATCTTTGCAGTGTTTTATTGGATTAACAAACCATTTTAGGCATTTTATAAAAGACTATGCGAAAATTGTACGACCACTTGACAGATTAAAATGTAAAAATACGAAATTTATTTGGACTGATGAATGTGAAAAATCTTTTATAACATTGATAGAATTGATAACATCAGAACCAATTCTAAGAATACCAGATCCTAGGTTAAAATTTGAGCTTAGTACTGATAGTTCTTATTTTGGTTGTGGGGCTATTCTATACCAAAGAGATGAGGAACAGATAAAAAATAACCAACTTAGAGTAATTTCCTACTATTCCTACACCTTTAATAAACATGAACAAAATTATTCTGTTACAGAAAAAGAATGTCTTGCGGTTGTAAAAGCAGTAAAACATTTTAGAACTTTGTTGGAATCAAGAAAATTTGTAGTACATACTGATCATCGAGCATTAAAATATATTTTGTCAACAGGTGCTTTAAGAGATAGGTTAGCCCGATGGCAAATATTTTTAAGCAGTTTCGATATGATAGTGAACCACAAACCCTGCAAAGAACTAGAAGACAGTGATGCAATTTCCAGATTGTGCGTGGATTTTCCTGAAAAGGTGAAGGAAACATTTTGGTGTAATTTGAATATACACGATTTGGAAAAACAAGAGGATGGAAGGTTTTTTGTAAAGAATGCAGATATAAAGACAGACATTTTACAATCTTACCACGATGATCCTGATTCTGGAGGCCATGATGGATATTACAAAACATACTATAAGATAAGTAAGCGGTTTGTTTGGAAAGGATTAAGTAAGGATATTAAATACTACATAAAAACTTGTGAAATATGTCAAAAAGTAAAATTTAAATATTATCCCAAACCAAATTATACACATCTAACATCCTGTTCGCAGAATCCCTATGAAAAGGTTCATATTGACTTTGCGGAGATAGAAAAAAAATCAGATTTAAACAGAACTACAAAATCATTTATTATTCTGATAGATGAAGCCACTAGACATGTAAGTGCCAAGGCAATAAAAGAAAGTGGTGATGCTTTGAAAAGCTATTTTAGTAAACTTTCTTTCCTAAATGATATGAAAACAGTCGTCACAGACTGTGCACCTGCTCTAACATCTGGAACATTTAAAGAATGGGCTGTATTGAAGGGGATAGAACTAGTCCATACTTCTCCTTACCATCCGGCTGGAAACGGATTAGCGGAACGAACTGTTAGAGAAATAAAAACATACATGCATTGTTATAAGGATTTTAGGGGTGGTTGGAAAAAATGCCTTGAAGCCGCCGTGCGACACCACAATTATTCCCATAATGAATTCCTGGGATGTTCACCTAATTACAAATTGTTTGGAAAGAGTACAATCCTAAATGCTGATAAAAAATTTAATATAAATGGACCCCTAAAAGAATTTCCTAGATCTTTAGAAGAACAATTAAAATATAAAAAAAACATTCAGAAACAAGCAAATAAAAATAAGAAAATCCTTCCCCTGAACGTGAAAGTGAATGATTTTATTTTAGTAAGAAGTCAAAAAATAGGGAAAAATTTTGTCGTAAAGGGACCCTTTAAAGTCATAGGTACAAAGTACATGGAAGGAGTTTTAACTTATGTCCACTACGTAAATGACCAAAAGGAAGAAGTTGCCCATGCATAAAACCTAAGAGTATATCATCACAGGAGTGATGAATTTTTGAAGGAGGGGGCGTGTTGTAATAGATCATCCTGTATACGATGTCTTATAGCGGTGATGAGAATTGTCATTGTATTAAACTTGATCTAATAAAAATATTTATTCTGAGTATTATTTAGAAGATTTCTAAACAATTCCTTACATATATCGATATATCGAATCATATATATCGATACATTCGATATATCGAATAAAAAATATCGATAATTTGAATATATCGATATATTTTTAATAAAATTTAATATATTTTTTAAAAATTAAAATACGGTTTGTTACCGCGCGACGTGCAGCGGAGTGCGGCATTTTATCGTAAGCGGCAAATAGCTTTCAGCTCGAATTACGCACAAGATTTTTTTCTACGATAACAGGATATTAAAAGTATATAGTTTTATTTTACCGAATTCAAATCTTACTACGTTAAATTGACAGACGGCTAACTTGACTAGCAAACGAAAAGTATGTTATGTGTATATTGTGTTGCCTGCTTACTTGAAGATTAATTTTATAATACGCATAAAAAATATTTGTTAGTAAAAACATCTTAAAAATAACTTAAAAGAATACTCAAATCGAAAATTAATGACTCATACACTGTTTTAAGTTGGCGGAACTAATACAGAGACCTCAGAAAAACTTCAGGAAACCTGCAACAGAATCAATCGATGGACAAAAAAGTGGAAAATAAAAATAAATCAAACTAAATCAGTGCATGTTGATTTTACTCTTCGACCAAATGAACAGAAACAAATAAGAATAAACAATGACGTTATTCCGCCTCACGATTCGGCCAAATACCTAGGGATGAACCTAGATGTAAGACTTAAATGGAAAGAGCACATAAAAAAATCGTAAAGAACTTGAACTTAAATTCAACAAAATGTATTGGCTCCTAGGAAGAAAATCCAAATTGTCAGTGCACAACAAACTGCTGATTTATAAACAAATCCTAAAACCAATCTGGATTTACGGCATACAGCTATGGGGCTGTGCCAGCAAGAGTTATATCAACATGATACAAGTTTTCCAAAATAAAGTCCTAAGATGCATTGTTGATGCACCTTGGTTCTACCGAAACGATTATCTTCCTAGAGACCTGAAATAAGCAGAAGAAATAAAGAGGTTTGCTGCGAAACATGAGGGTCGACTCCACTCCCACGTCAACGAAGAAGCGCTGCAATTACTGGACAACTCTACACTTAACAGAAGGCTCAAAAGGAAGACGCTGTTTGAGCTAGTGCAGTGAACGTTAATGTTGGTGCTAGTGTAAAACAGTGTAATGAATCGTCACGCCAACTTGTGATGCTTTCCTATAGAAACAAGACAGCCCAATGGGGACTTCTTAAATAGGTAATTAATTATAAGATTTTTAGATTAAAATTGTAGGTTAGTCAGTAATGACTAGTAACAATACTCTAACAAAAAAAAAAATTAACCAACAAAAAAATCAAATTTAAAAAAAAATTAATAACTGGTGAGTATTGAACTCACGACCATCAGGTTCAAAGACAAACGCGCTAGGGCTCTACAAGACATGTTAAATATGAGTGTTAAAAACAGGGTAATTTATTTTTAATACTTTAATTATCACTTAAATAATAAGGAAATTGAGTTTGAGTATAAATATTCAACTAAAAAATTCAGATTAGACTACATTTTCTTTTAAAATATCTATTAGCTTTATAATAATAGCCTTGCTAATGAAATTTTCTAATGAAAATAGGCGTGTGCAAAAAGTAACTTTCCGCCTATATGCGGCAATAATGTCAAAATACAACAATTAACGGAAAACGTCAACTTTCCAGTTAGATTTGAATGTGCAAAAGCCTACTTTGGATAGTAATCGTAGAATAGTATATTACATTACGAGTGTGGAAAATCACTTTTCACACAAGTGATGTACAATATTTTTCCTACGACCACAAAATAATGTCATCAAAAAAATGTAAAACCAAGGTTATTATTACTATAATAATTAAAAAGTATTTAAAAAAAATAATCAACAATAATCGTATTTATTCAATTTTCATATTTTTTAAACAAAAAAATTCTGCCCCGCCAGGATTTGAACGCGGTCGAAAAATGGCAAAGTTGATAAGTTCGACGTCCTAATCACCTGAGCTAATAGCCCTTGTGTCAATTGAATGATCTAATCGGTTATGTATTTAACCAGAATAAAGAGCAAACATTATTTTAAAATTATTTTAATAATTGTTAAAGATAAATATCTAGGATCTAATTTACAACAATTTTAAAATTTAACAATCGTATCGATTTTAGTATTAATATGGACATTACATAGATCAAAATAGAAATTAGGTGTTTGACATTTTGTGACAACTACTGCGGAAAGTAACATATTCTCACTCGGGTGGAAAGTAAATTCTTATTCATACGCGTGTGATATAGGGCACTTTCCATAGGACTATATAGTGTGATATGTGTCACTTTCCTAAGTGGTCGTAGGAAAAAATATTTTTATTACCCACTCTGGACTTTTGACAACGAAAATAAAACTAAAAAATATGCAAATTCAAACAAATCAAACGCCTTGACTGTCAATTAACATGAACGTCGCATGCGCATGAGCGCACGCTTTATTAATAATGTTTTCGATATATCGATATATAATAAAAATAAACATAAATTAAAAACTAGAAGGGGGCTCCCTACTAGAAACGTGTTTTTTTTTTGGCTTTTTTTTGGTCGATTTAAAAAGTACCTACATAATATCTTTTATAAATTTTAAACAATAGTTTGTTACTAAGGGCTCGTAGCTGCACAGAGGCGTATTCAGTTTTTATTTGCAGTTAAAAATATGTATGTTTTTAATAATTGTTGGAAATAAATTATTTTGGTAGTTTAATATCAGTTGATTGATTAAAATTTTTGAAAATTATTAATTTTTTTCCTATTTTATTTCTCATACAACAATATATTGGAATATATAACGCTCGTATATAATACCTTAGGGCATTATGAGAGTGTTTATGGCAATCTTATCCAAAGCATAATAAACAAATAATAAGCAAATAGAAAATTATTAATATTTAATAATTGTTTCATGTATTTTCAGTCTGTTGCATTGCGATTTTTAAAGGACGTCCAAAACTTCAACGTACCTGAATATGTAATGACTGGAATAGTAATAGTGTTTCAATATATGCACGCAAGCGTCGTAGAAGCCAGCGAACGGTACTTGCAAGAGTTGTCACGTCATAATTACGTAACACCTACTTCTTATTTGGAACTCCTATCTAGTTACACTGAACTTATGAACACTAAAAGAGGCAATCTATCTGGAAACATCAATAGACTACAAATTGGTAAGTTGTTCCAAATTAATTTTGTTTGACTTTTAAATATATTGACGATTTGGAGAAGTCCGAAAAACACTTATTTTGAAAAACTCACTTTTTATTATGTTTATACGAGTACTAAACTGTTTGCATTCACCTTTATTGAATTGTTATAAATTTTATATAGTTCTTCTACTATTTCACTTAATTTTTTTTTAATTTCAAACCATTTTTAATCAGATTTTGTATAAACCCTTTTTCATTTCCACCATGTACAATGACCAATTGATAGAAAGGTTTACATCACCGAACCTATACAGGCATTTTTGCAGAAAATTACTATAGATTACAAAATTTTAATGGCTTCATGTCGCACAGGTTAGGTAAATTAGTTAATATTTTTTTAATTTTCTCATTTCATATACAATTTTTAGGTTAGGTAAATTAGCTAAGTTTTTTTTTAATTTTAATTAGATTACTAGAAAGATATTTCTCATCTCAGATCATGTCCGTCCGTACATTATACGCGAGTGCCATCAAACGTATTTCATATTCGATCAATTGTTCGTTCGACAAGAAGATCTTGGAAGCAAATGTTCTTTGGTGCGAATGTACTTTAGTCATTTTTTCGAGCAAATGTTTTTTCGAGCAAATACATTTTCGAAGAAATGTTTTTTCGAGCAATTGTTTTTCGAGAAAATGTATTTCGAGCCATATTCCGTAATTCCTTTTAATTCGCTTATGGTATATGATTGATCCCCAATAAAAAGTTTGTTTCCTTTAATATAGCAATTTTATTCGAGTTTTGTTTGTAATCGTTCCACTATTCTCTTAAGTACTTACTTTATTGCCTTTGTTCTGCAGTTAAATCGTTTACAATACTCTGATATTTTTTAATAGTACAGTTTTTCAATATTAACAGTTTTTATGATAAATTACTATTTCAACTTTTAACGGGCTATTTGATAATTTTCCTAGAGAAAAAAGACCATTGACGTCCGATTCTATAAGATTAATTCCCAAACGTTGACCAATTTCTGCACAAAAATATGCTATGGATCTTTTCTTTATTGATTTCACATACCAATACATTGTTTTTCTTCTGGTTTCGTTCCAGCAATTCGTAATTCTTAGTTTTCTTGATCAAGATCACTCACTTTATTATTTAATCCTACAATTTTCATTCATACACGTGTTTATTATTCTTCTATGGAATTCTTTATTTCGCTTTTTACGGTTGTTATATTTTGATTAATTTCTGCTTTTGTACTTACTATTTCAGCCAGAAGCTGCTTCAAAGTAACTTGCTCATTGGTCATGATTTCATGTGTTTTTGTGATAATTTGTAGCTATGCCCTGGACTAGTAGGTATCTATTGACGATTTGGAAACGTTCGAAAATTACTTATTTTGAAAAACTCACTTTTTGCGTAATGAATAAATATATTATGATTATACGAGTAATAAGGATCCACCTTTATTGAATTGTTATAAATTTTATATAGTTCATCTACTATTTCATTTAATTTTAAAACAAATACAGAGCCCAGGAACGCACGTGTTGCTCGAACGACGCCGCATGCATTTTCACATTATCACAAGGATCTCTTCTTAGTCTTCTTGTTAGAAAAACTTCACTAGCTATTTAAAAGGACACTTTTATTTAATTTTTATTGATGCCAAAATTAAAAAATACACTTACAGATTGGATCTAAATCCTTTAATGTTCAGAGCTTGATTTCTGTTGACATCGGACATTTAAATTGGTTATTTTTGGTGGCCATTAATTAGCAATTAGTTTGACATCTTATTTCTATTTTTCAGGGTTGAGTAAACTGCAAAATACATCTGAAGAAGTGGCGAATCTGCAAGAACAACTTCGAGTCATGAAACCCGCTCTACAAATTGCAGCCAAAGATGCGGAAATAATGATTCAAAAAATCGCCCTAGATACTGTAAGTTTACTTTTTGATTAATATTTAGTATTGCAGTAAGTATGCTTCTCTTAATTTTGTATTTTTTTTTTTATTAATTAATTCACTCATGTTAATTAGTTTTGTACACCTTATTTAATAAGTAATCGAAGGCATCACTTAACATAGTTTTCATTTTTACTTTCGAGTAAACAGTAAGGAAAGTATAGGAATCTTGATTTTATCGACCTCGAGTTTTCAACGGATTTTTACGTTTTGGGATCCCCTGGATCAGTTTTTACCATTTCCGCGATGATGTATGTCTGTCTGTGTATCTGTATCACGATAAATCAAAAACGGAGCATATGGAGGGTATTTTATAAGTACTTTATGGTATAGTTACATAGTGAAATGGGTAATTTTGTAATTTATTTAAATTCTGTTAGTTATGATTGGAGAAGGTTTGTAATTTCATGCTCTATAATTTTTGTCATATGTCATGATTTCTATAAAATGGACTGTAATGTAGAAATTTAAGGAAAAGCGCAAAATTCGGATTTTCCGATGTTTTCGTTGGCAATAAGCTTAGCTGTTCCTTTTATCCTCTACCGCCAGCTTCAATTTTACAAACGGTAATTTACCTATTTTAGGAAGTTGCTGAAGAAACAAAAAGGATGGTACAAAAAGAAGAGCATGAGGCTTTAAACAAAGCCGCAGAAAGCGAAGAAATAGCTGAAGATGCCCAAAGAGATTTAGGTAAAAACAATATCATCAAACAACGAAACCGTCTACTATCCGCTCATATTTCTACTTTAATTTCTTCAAAAATATTTTATGAATTTCGACATGTTTTAATTTCTTTTATCTTTATTTAGACGAAGCAATGCCTGCACTATTGGCTGCTGAAAGAAGTTTGAAAGCGTTAAACAAGAACGATATAGTTGAAGTAAAATCTATGAAAAAGCCACCTGCTGGAGTAGTGACTGTCATAGAAGCAATATGCATTGTTAAGGGTATTAAACCCGTTAAAGTAAGTTAGATGTATTTAGAGCTTTTTTATTTAAAAAATGCTTCTCATTAAAATGCATTTTGAATTTAGCGTCTTCATTCTCTATCCAAATACATTAATAATGACGAAAAAAGGAGCCAAACAAAGTTGTTTATAAAATAAATATAAAGTTATTGCACTGTTATTTAATCATATGATTTTATGGAATAAAATATTCCTATTCTTAAAATAATAAGATACCATTTTAGTTAAATAATCATTTAGTAATTATGTAAAACAAAACATAAAAATTGAGGTTACCCAGCTAGTACAAAAACATTCCATCTACGTTAATAAGCTGCAATTCCGATATCTTTAAGCTCGCATGTAATGTACTTTTAATGTAACCGTAACATCCAGGCAACCGCCGAATCTCCGTAACTGCAAGACTTTTATAGCATCTCATAGAGTTTACAAAGTACCTATAGTTCGGAAAACATCACACTAGCAATTTTACAATACTTTCCTCCGAATGTGAATTATACAATATGTCCACGGATGGATTTATCTACCTATACTTGTAAAAATATTTATTTTAATAAGTATAGTTAAGTCGATCCGTAGAAAAATAGTACATTATATACCTAGGGTGAGAAGTGAGCTATTATTTACCGAGCACTTTTATATCCTGAGGCGCGTAGCGCCGAGGGATATAATGTGTGGTAAAAATCTAAATTTTGATTTAAAAATCTCTCATTTACCAATTTGTAACCACAAAATAAATCTTCATTTATTTATCTTGTTTTTATTTTATTTAACATCTTTATATGTAATAAATGTTATATTATTCTTGGAAAAAATAGTGTTTTTAAGCTTTTTACTTACGTTCCACTGAACTTCATACCCTTATACCAAATCCAATCGGTTATAAAGTTTAAACCATTATAAAGTTTATTGCACACCATATCGGTTAGTATTTCATTATTTTTTTAAACTTAGTTATGATTTTATCTTTAATAAGATACGCCACTGGTATCAACAGACTTTTAGTTGCGTACAACAGCAACGTCGCCAGACGAGATTTTCGATTACAGTCTGTCTTCTTTCGATCCGCATAAAATATCATCTTTCTCTTTTCCGATGATTGGTACCAAACAAAACATTCTTTATGAATGAAATGCATCATCTGTTGTTTCTTTTATCTAAGTGTGTACGTTTCTTTTTCTGTTTTTACTTTCCTATCTGTATACAGATATAAGGAAAGTATAGGAATCATGATTTTTTTCGACCTCGAGTTTTCGACGGATTTTTACGTTTTGAGGTCCCTTGAATCCGTTTTGACTATTTTCGCGATGATATCTGTATGTGTGTGTGTGTGTGTGTGTGTGTGTGTGTGTGTGTGTGTGTGTGTGTGTGTGTGTGTGTGTGTGTGTGTGTGTGTGTGTGTGTGTGTGTGTGTGTGTGTGTGTGTGTGTGTGTGTGTGTGTGTGTGTGTGTGTGTGTGTGTGTGTGTGTGTGTGTGTGTGTGTGTGTGTGTGTGTGTGTGTGTGTGTGTGTGTGTGTGTGTGTGTGTGTGTGTGTGTGTGTGTGTGTGTGTGTGTGTGTGTGTGTGTGTGTGTGTGTGTGTGTGTGTGTGTGTGTGTGTGTGTGTGTGTGTGTGTGTGTGTGTGTGTGTGTGTGTGTGTGTGTGTGTGTGTGTGTGTGTGTGTGTGTGTGTGTGTGTGTGTGTGTGTGTGTGTGTGTGTGTGTGTGTGTGTGTGTGTGTGTGTGTGTGTGTGTGTGTGTGTGTGTGTGTGTGTGTGTGTGTGTGTGTGTGTGTGTGTGTGTGTGTGTGTGTGTGTGTGTGTGTGTGTGTGTGTGTGTGTGTGTGTGTGTGTGTGTGTGTGTGTGTGTGTGTGTGTGTGTGTGTGTGTGTGTGTGTGTGTGTGTGTGTGTGTGTGTGTGTGTGTGTGTGTGTGTGTGTGTGTGTGTGTGTGTGTGTGTGTGTGTGTGTGTGTGTGTGTGTGTGTGTGTGTGTGTGTGTGTGTGTGTGTGTGTGTGTGTGTGTGTGTGTGTGTGTGTGTGTGTGTGTGTGTGTGTGTGTGTGTGTGTGTGTGTGTGTGTGTGTGTGTGTGTGTGTGTGTGTGTGTGTGTGTGTGTGTGTGTGTGTGTGTGTGTGTGTGTGTGTGTGTGTGTGTGTGTGTGTGTGTGTGTGTGTGTGTGTGTGTGTGTGTGTGTGTGTGTGTGTGTGTGTGTGTGTGTGTGTGTGTGTGTGTGTGTGTGTGTGTGTGTGTGTGTGTGTGTGTGTGTGTGTGTGTGTGTGTGTGTGTGTGTGTGTGTGTGTGTGTGTGTGTGTGTGTGTGTGTGTGTGTGTGTGTGTGTGTGTGTGTGTGTGTGTGTGTGTGTGTGTGTGTGTGTGTGTGTGTGTGTGTGTGTGTGTGTGTGTGTGTGTGTGTGTGTGTGTGTGTGTGTGTGTGTGTGTGTGTGTGTGTGTGTGTGTGTGTGTGTGTGTGTGTGTGTGTGTGTGACAATGGTCAAATAATAGCAAGACGGTTTCCCAAGAAGGGATGAACTGAAAATAATTCTGAATGTGAATCAATACTCTCCAGTCATTTAAACGGATGTCCAAACTAACTAGAAAACGATAAGAAAAATTCCTACCTTGAGTTATAGGGTGGCTGGTACTACGGTCACTAATAAAATTCTCAAACCAAAACGTTCACTGTGGCGACGGTTGCAGCAGGAGAAAAGAGCTTACGGTGGTCAAGAGTCAAGAGAGGGAATTTCCTTGCACCTACCTGTTTATGTCCCCGAGCAGACGAACTAGGAAGCCTGGCAATTTCTTTAAATAATTTTGAAAAAATAGATGTTCTTCTTCAACCTTTAGTTTCCTAATATATAATGGAAAAAAATTATAAAAAGGCCGAACATAGAGTGGTTAGGGCTCGTAAATGACATTTGCAGGAAAGTAAGTGACACATGCTAGCCGGGTAAGTGAAGTAAACAATAAGTCGCTTCCCAAAGTGTTCAAATTCACAGATTACTAAACGATTGTGAGTAAAATAATTATGCAGGTACTTGCAGTTCTGGTGAGGTACATTTAAGTTAATTCTGTGACATATTTATAAGTATACCTATAAAGACAATTTTAATATTAAAAGTACCGTTCAATATGTAACTGGCAAAATAATTACCTAACTATTAGATTTAACTTAGCAACGGTCTCACAGGTATCTTCCTTAAAAAACTTTATCAATTTATAATAGAAATTGATATCAATATTATTTGAAACTTATACAAAATTACTAATAATAGATTGTGAGAAAAATCGTATACATAACTTGAGGGTACTCATTCTAGCCTCGCGTCTGTAGCTTACCTCTGTGATTCGTACCTCGCTAATCTACCTTGACGCTCGGCTATAATAGAATACCTTCCCGCTCGGTTTGTTAACTACATTTTACTACCTTCAAACAATATAATATATTTAAAAACCCAAAACGTGTATCAATCAATCAGAATGGTTTGTTTTTGTTTAGTTCACTGACGTCATTCTAATATGATGTAAATTACACTTATATTTAGATTCCAGGTCCGAAAGTAGGCCAAAAGCTTTTGGACTTTTGGGAACCCGGAAGAGCTATGCTTTCTGATCCTCAATCATTTTTAACGTCTTTAATGCAATTCGATAAAGAATCAATAACAGAAGAAATGGTTGGAAAATTGAAGAAATACGTAAAGGATCCCGGTTTTACCCCAGAGAAAATTGCTAAGGTATGTTCCAATTCTCTATTATTATTTTTATTCATATATTCTCTATTTGGTTCAATGGAGTAGGTGTAATTACCATAGGGTTACATGTAAATTAGGGCCCAAGTTATTCTACGATCAAAAATAACATGTAAATTCGATCCTATAATTTCTGTCTTGCCTGATAGTTCTTGTGTAAATTTGGTCCCGTCGACCCTTTGGGTAAATTAAACAGGCAATTCTGTAACAATTCCTTTATATTTAATTTAACGGCCTTTAAAAATATTGGCGGCCTTTAAAAACATTTTCGTATTCGTTAATTTACTTCTGTCATTATTTAAACAGATTTCTTTAAGATAGTCATCTAATGTATTTTTAAGATCCGTTTAAATAATGACAGAAGTAAAGAAGAAAATATTTTTAAAGGCCGTTAAATATAAAGGAATTTTTACAGAATAGACCCCAATAATAGTTATTGAAGTAATTTATAAATTTTTAAATCCACATTGAAAGGTTATATATTTAATAAACTTAAGTAATTTATCTAATCTGTGATGCCTAGAGCAATCGCGGGTTACTTTCCAAAAAAATTATACATAAAATGAGTTTTGCTCAGGTTCATGTAATCAAGAGTTGTTAAGACCTTATAGACCAGTCGAATTAACCTCATTTATATAAAAATAAAATTGTTAACAACAGGACTTTGATGAGTGTAAATCGTAAAGGGGCTTATAAGAAATAAAAAAAATTAATGCAACCTGGGGGGGTTGAAGTTGAAGTTTTAGGGGATTTAAAATGGATAAAAAATGGTATTATCGCGATTTCCGGCAAAAGTTGACGTCAATAACAAAAATCTATAAAGCAAAAGTTTTAGATCAAGCAAAAATCTACAGCTTTTGTAGCTTTTTAACATAACCTCAAAATTTTCGATAAGAATGCAAAAGTTCGTTCGAATTTTTTTTACATGTTAAAATGAAAAAAAAAATTCCAAATTTTTTTGAATTTTTTTATTTAATTTTTTGTTTTGGTTATTTAAGACGCAAAGGTATAATTTCACCAAATTTCATCTAAATTTAATTATTTTTGGAAAAAGGAAAAATGAAAATCGAAAAAAAATTCGAACGAACTTTTGCATTTTTATCGAAAATTTTGAGGTTATGTTAAAAAGCTACAAAAGCTATACATTTTTGCCTGAACTACAACTTATGCATTATACATTTTTGTTTTTGACGTCAACTTTCGCTTAACATCGCATACCATTTTTCACCCCTTTTCAACCCCCTAAAACTTTACTTCAATCCCCAGGTTTTATTTATTTAATATAAGCCCCTCTACCATTTACACTTATCAAAGTCCTCTTAACATTTTTTTTTCTAAAAGTTTCATTTGATTGGACTATTAGACAAGGAAAGAGAGAGGACATCTAGCAAGTATATGGAGCACTATTATTGATTGGCCGCCATTATTTCGGTGCTAAGCGTTTCGACGACACCAAAGCTTTTTACTCGGGTTTATTTGTGATTTTCGAATTCGATAATTAGTTTGTTACAATGGTTTATTGTGCTGCATATCAGTGTACAAGTCGTAACGACAAGAAATAACCAGATATCAGGTAAACAATAAATATCGATAATTTTTACTTTATATATTTTCTTATATTTTTAATTTTATTTGGTTTTTATACAACTTGAAATTTATATATTGTACATATCTCACTCCAGAGTAATAAAGTTTCCCGCCAAGTTTGTTTATTTTGTGCTTTTCATTCTTATTTAAGCAATTTAATGTTAAAAAAAGTGCCGAACAAGCAAAATTTATCAGTGGCGTATCGTACAATTCTAAGTATTAACTTTTATTAAATTCTAATTTACTTTTGACATTTGTCTTTTGCTTTTTAAATGCTTTTTATTTAATTATAGCAATGTTTATTTGTTGTTTCATTATAAATTTCCTGTGAATCCAGCAAAAAAATCTTTGGATTCAGGCAAAGAAAATTTCCCTATCAAGATCATCTCAGGAAAGAAGTTTTTGAAAGACTTTTAAAAACATTTCGTGAAACTGGTACTGTTGCTTATGAAAAGCGTACAATAAATAAGCCCACAATCAATGACAAAATTAATCCACAAAATGTTCTTCTATCCGTCATCGAAAATCCTAACATAAACACAAGAATTGTGGCACAACAGTTAGATTTAGGCCAAACAAGAAAAATTCTTATTCTCATTTTTATCGTTTATCTTATTCTGTTTATGGTTTTTTGAAAAAACTAGAGTACTTTTTTGATGGCTATTTAAATGAAACATTTTTTTTTTTTAATTTTTGAAGAAAGAATTCTGTAGCCTTCTAGAGGATATTCCTTTGGATATTAGACGAAAAATGTGGTACAGATAGTTGGTGATTCCGTCGCAGAGTGTCAGGATATATTTAAACCAAAAATTTCCTGACAAATGGATAGAAAGAAGCCCTGCTAGATCCCCGATCTAACCACTCTATATTTTATCTAATGGGAAATGTAGTTTATCAAACTCAGCCGACCACCGCCGAAAAAACACGCATTCGTGATGCGTTTGCTATAATTAATTTAGAGATTTTAAGTAATAAAAATAAATTGAAAAGCGAATCAGAATGTGCATTAACAATAATGGACATCATTTATTGTAAAATTTAAATTTATTGACAAATGTTGGAATAAATATGTTTCTCAAAATAAAACTATTGTAAATAGGTGTTTGAAATTTATTGATTCATTGAAACTAATAATAATAGGTTTAAAAATAGTAGATGTGGATATGAGGAACATGTAGAACATTTATCGTAAATAAAATTTTCTTCTTATTGCTACTATTAAATACAGGGTGTTCCATTTAAATTAACGCAGTAATTAAATAAAACATTTTACTGTAATAAAACTTCAAATTGCAAACACCCCGTACATTTTTTAAATATTTTAATGATTTTGATAAAAAGTTACATTTTTTAAAGAACTACTAAAATTTGGTTATAATTAATTATTTTGTAATCAAGAGCAATTAATTAATTTCAATAGCACTACATTTTCAAAAAACGTCAAATCAATCGGAAATTATTAAAAATAGGTATAGGAAATCTTTATTAAATTAAGAATATTTTTAGAACTTAAAATTAAAAGAATATTACTTTATGTTAGTATTCTGGTTTGGGACACCCTGTATATATAAAACTAATTTTAATTTGTAGCCACCGTTGAGTTGTATATTTGAGCGCAAGGAATTTTTAGTATCGTTTATAGTTTACCCTCCAGGCTCCGTCCCGTTGAGCGTGGCACACCCTGTATATATATTTCTCTTGTTTCTTATTTATTGTTCCTCATTTATTTTAATTTTTAAGCTTTAAACTTGCTTTATACCTAAAAAGATCAATAAAGTACTAATTAACAAATAAAAGTTCATTGTTTTATTTCCAACATGTTACGCCCCTGGTCAAACAGCATTGGTGTCAGAATGGAACACAATTTCCTGCGGCGTTATGAGTCATCTCTTTATTTACCTAGTCTAAGGTTGGGAGCGAATTTACCTATCGATAAATGGGCTACATTTTTTATATGGTCCGTCGGGCACCAAATTCCTCACACCGAACTACAGAACCTCAGTACCTTCATTCTGCGAGTCACATTGGGCAGATTATATTAAACAATTTTAATTTATTCTACTGAACATTTATTTGTTATTAAATTGTCTAGATTTCCAAAGCTTGTCAATCACTATGTATATGGATCCACGCTATGTACAAATTTTTCCACGTAAACCAAGCAGTATTGCCCAAAAAAGCGGCATTGAAAAAAGCAGAAGAAGATCTAGCTGCAACTGAAAAAGCTTTGGCAGCGGCAAAGGAAAGAATGAAGCAAGTATTAGATGGTAAGTTCCCGATTTATATTATTCTGTCATTGTCCTGAACAACGGGGCCATTTTTTAATGTGTATCTCGTAAACCGTTGGTAATAACAAATTTGGTAAAATGGGGAAAAAGTTGTATGTTTCTAAGCTGTCTGAGAACTTTTTAAAATCAAAATATCAGGGCCGGTTTCCGAGATATTTAATAAAAAACGTTTATTTTCAAAGATAGACAAAAATTCATTTAAGGTAGTTCACTCGTAAAAGTCGTAAAGCGACTTTTCTTAAGAATTCAATAAAATTGAAATATAATAATTAATACTCTTGAAGCCTGTCATGTACACAAGCAATGCATTTTTTTTTCAAGATATCTCGAAAACAGTTCTTATTATATTTCTTAAAAACTAATATAATGTAAATCAAGTTATAAAATTTTCTAAAAAAAAACACTGAATTTTTTGAAAAAGATAGATTTTTAAAATAAACCTATTTGTAAATAAAATATTTTTAAAGCAATCAACGCGTAGTTGCGTACAATAAATACAACTTGGCAACATTGTAATCGCTACACTTAACGCGCGGTACATGAATTACCCTCGATCAGCTAAGAGGTTGTTATCACCTGGCGACGTGTTCTTAAAAAAATAATTTGTCCACTTTATTTGAGAACTGCAATTGACGGTTCTGTTTGAACCAAAACAAACCCTTAAAATTAGTATGAGGAAGTCACAAATTCGCTATTCATATATTTGCGACGTTGCCGGATGGCTTTTACTTGAAATTATAACGTAGCCGTATATATAAGCTTACAGCTGTTGTGTACAGTCTCTTAACAAAAATAATATTTTTTGGCATTGAGAATTTCGAACTTTTGGTATTCACCATTAGGCGATATTTTTATGTACGACTGTCGCGAGTGAACGGTTCTTTGTTTTATATCAAGTTGTACATGCACATGCATATAGGTATTCTTAGACTTAACCAAGGCATTTGACACTGTTGATGAAGTATTTACGTTTTTTATCTAACGTTTAGTAAATGCAGAACTTCTTTATTTGAATGTGGACCAGTGTTATTGCGGCGAAAGATCATTTTAATGTATATTCAACGCTGAATACAATGATGTTACAACATATTATTGTGATTAGCAAACATTTTGGAAGATTTGAACATCATCAGGTATTTTTTAGGTAAACATATTTGGATTAGTAAATGTTGTATTATGAATTTTAAATACCAGCAAAATTTTCATCTGCGGTTTTAATTTTCACAATACATATGTTGAAATTACATGGTTAAATCTATAAAACAGTAAAATATTTTTTTCAATAAATTATTTTCGTCTTTATTAAAACAATTAACTATATAAAAATAAGTGTACGTTTAGCTTTTAAAATGTAGTTGCTTATTTTGATGGTGGTCTTGCATTTGCGAAACGTTGAATAAAAAAAAAAACAAAATCGGCATTATATGTGCAACTTGATATAAAACACCACATGATTTGAGTTTTTGTTTAGTTGTTACCATGACAAGTATGGCAACAGTTTCTCCGTTACTGATTTCAGCTAAAGTTAAATTAAATCATGTATAAGTTGGCAACTACGCATTTCGTCACCACGGAATTTGGATTTTGTTTAGACGTTACCATGACAAACGTTCCCATGACAACATTTTCTCCACAACTGATTTCAACTAAACTAAAGTAAAAATTAAATCATCTATAACTTGTTAACTACGTATTTCCTCAACACGGGATTTGGGTTTTTGTTTAGTCGTTACCATGACAGGCGTGGGGAAGGAGAGAATTTGTGTCAGAATCCACTAGCAAAAGAACTTTCAGAGATAATACAGACGGTTTTCAACAAAATAAAACCTGTTTCTTGTCACATGCACTATGATATAACTCAAAACGGACAGATAATTGAGAGAAATCATAATAAAAACAAATGTTCTCTTTACCGATATCTGTCATTTAGCTTATTATATTTTACTCCTATTGGGGGTGAAGCAAAACTGCCCATTGTCCTTTACTTTGTTGGGATCCAAACCTTAACATGCTATACTATTTATATTTAATATTTTTATAGGTCTCAAATTTTTGGAAGATTCACTAGCTAAGAAAATAGGTGAAAAAGAAGAAAAAGAACAGAGCATTATTCTCTGCGAAGATCGAATGAATAGAGCAATAAGACTTATAAACGGTTTAGCAGAAGAAAAAATTAGATGGATTCAAACAATTATAGATCTAAACGCCAATATTGTAAATATAACAGGGGATATCCTGATTTGTTCAGGATGCGTGGCTTATTTAACACCTTTTACAGATGCTTACAGGTATTTTTTAGTTATAAAAGATAAATATGATATGTGTGCAGTTATGTTGTTTAGTCTACTAGTATTAATTTAATTGACAATTTATAATATAATACGTTATCCTCAGTTTAAAGGCTGCTCTTCAGATACGCGTTAAGATACTTTTTCTGTATTTAAATTTTTATTTGTTGCCATTGGCGGCGTAATAACTTTTCTTGGGCGGGGGCTTGAACCTTGCTATAGTCTGGAGAAGAAAGGAGTGCAGTAATTTAATTTGCAGAACGTACAGGTCCAAAAGCTAGAAATTTTAATTATACCACATGCTTCAATGCTTATATTTGTAGTTAAAATTAAAATTTGAATACATTTTGTCGGCCTAATAAAAGTTTTCGTTTAGATTTGATCATGTTTCCATGGTTTTTACTTTAAGGACAAAGTATCCTTGTGCATTAGAATGGCGTCTGCAGACCAAAAGTTAATTGTAACAATTACCGTAATTATACCGTATATCGTACTATTTTTTTTTATTGTAGATAAAGGTCCAACTTAGGTGGTTTAGGCATTGATTTTTTTTCAATTAATTGTTTTTAATTAAAAACGTGTGGTAGAAAATGGCCTATTTTTAGACCTTTTTCATTGTAAGAATAAACTACAAATTCAATAAATTTTCTGAAAATGAAACCTTGAACCTCCTAAGTTAAACATTTTCCTATGAAATCGTTCAATCGGAAAATACGAAAAGGCTCAGACCTCCGAAATAGTTTTAAATGAAAATTGGGTTGCATTTTATGTGTAATCCAGGAATAAAAAAAAATTGAACTAAAAATGGCGTCCTCAACTTCCATAAATAATCAATAATTAGTTTATCCCTGCTTCCATAGATGGATCGAAAAGATATTACATTTCGTTTATGCTTTTACAGACTAAAAACGAATTAAAATTTGATAACATCAAATGTTTTCTTTTTTAAATATATTGTAGTATTTAAAAAAATAATTACACTAAAACGAGTTAATAAAATGACAAAAAGAATATAGAATGTGTGATATTAATTTACAGTCGAGCAATGATGCCTGGTTGAATTTGGTTACGTTGTTGAGTGATGATATTTAGATGACCAGCTGAGTTTAGATACGAGGGTTTTAAAAATAAGTTAAATTTTAATAATAAATACGGTGTACTCTTTTTTTAAATTTTTTAATATTTTAACTGTAAAGTAGTTTATATTACAGTATCGAAAATTAATAGAGTTACTATTATAAGCAGATACAACAGCGATAGTAACAATAGTAGTCTTTTTATATTGTGGTAGTTAAGATTCGGTATCGACGTAGAGTTAATGCATTAGTGACTCTATTTATTTTCGTTCCTGTGGTATATAGATATTATAATAAAGAATAAATAGAAACACCTATAAATTAGATCACTTGCTTCTAAAAAAATAATCCCGATAGGATAGTTTATATACCTATTATTTTTTTACTTTCCTATTCCAACGGGATAGTGTATGAGTAAATAACAAAAATTTACATCAACGATATAGAAAAAGATAATTTTCACGTAGGTAACTTAATAATCGAATGTATTAAAATTTTAAAGTGTTGAAAATAAATAAAACCTTTATAAATATACACCTTAAATAAAAGTACCACTTTTTAGTTTTAATGAGTTAAATATTGTGACGATAGTCTTAATTTATTTATTTATTTAAAACACACTATTTACAATTTATTTATGACGTACTATTTAATTTATATAATACTTAGACACTAACTAACAATTCTAATTTATTTATTACAATTTAACTTTTCATTCCAATACTAAACTTCCCGACGATGAGTCTAGCTATTTATATTAAGCCCAACTCTGCTACTAGAAGTCTCTAGACGGTCCCGAAAATTCCATCTCTGACTCAACGGCACACTCTGGCCTTTCTACTTGTTTCTCGAGCCTCAGCGACATCCCCAGAACATTCCGTCGCCTCGAGCATGAGTCGGGGCCAGCTGAAGGTCGCGCTTGCTTTAGACACAGGGTCGGATGAGGAATTTCATGACATTGTCCCCTCCTTAAGAAATAGATCCTACTGGAACTAAAATTGAATGGTTGTATTTGCAACTGTATTCTCTTTTACAATTTCCAGTTGTGTGGAAGTAACAAAAGAGACTGTCTTCGCTGTAACCTGGACACTAGGCGAATGGCGGATTAGGAATTTCATGACAATATATAGAATTTCAAAACAAATCAAAATAAATTAGATATACCATAGCAGATTAGCTAGGTACCTGAATTTCACGAAATTTTGTATAAATAAGTAAATTAAATAAAATCAAAAAACTTAAAACAAAAACATTTTTATTAATTTTAAAAATACATAATTTATTTACTCTTCAACGGATCTCTGCACTCTAATCTTCTACCTCTTCTATTCAAAATTATTTCCGGGCCCACACAATCCTCATTAGATTTTTTCAATAAAAATAGGATTCTCATCTCCTACATAAACTATAAAATGGCACATTCTTCTTCTTGAGATACCGAGTTGTCCTTGAATCTAAAAATAATTTTTAATTTGTTAGAAAATATAGCTATCATTAAATTACTTTGAAATGTAGTCAAAAATCTCACCTGATAATAGTAATTGTGGTTTTCCTTTAAATGAATTTCATCATTTTCAATTCTTAAGCAGGGAACCATTTTTTTCTCTACGGCCTCTCTCAATGAAAGATTAGATGTGGCTACTTTTAAAAAAACATTTAACCTCGACAAGTTCATCAGAATTAATTAAACCTAAAAAATAGAAAAATATATTTAACTATTGTTATAATATGTAAATAATTATCGCTTACCATCAGGTGATGCACCTAGGAACCCATATTGCACATCAACAAATAACCCTGATGGTATAACTGTTTTGCCAGTTTCTTCTTGAAATTTGTTTATAGCCACGCCTTCGTTTTGTATGCCATACTCAATTGCTGGGGTAGTTATTCCTTGTTTGTCTGTCAAGATTGTTTTTACCAAACAATCGCATGGAGTACGGGCCCTTCTTTTGGCAACTTTCCCAAAATGAGAAGCCGTTAGCCGAAATCTTCTTTCCTCCAAGTATCTTGGGTTGCTGAACTGTCCTATAGTTTCTTCTGATATTTGTTGTTGTTGCTTACTCGTCACCTAAAAATATTTAAATATAAAATCATGTAAAAAGTAAAAACGTAATATTCATGTTAATACCTTTAGTCGGTCAATTAATTTATTAACTTCTTTAAGACATTTATCACTGATATCTACCTCAGCAATATTAAATCCGTACTCCGTTGTTTCTGATGGTTTTGGTTTTTTTTTATAGCCTTACTTCTTCTAACAGTAGGTTTTCTTTTAATTTTGTCACGCTCATCATTATTTACCCATTTTCTTAGAAAATGGGGTGCTTCTCTATTAAAGCATTGCTTCCAAATTTTGATGTGCCAATTAACTCCATTATTGTAACGAAGAACGCTCAAAACACACCTACTTTGGAAACCGTTCCTTTGAATGAGATTTAATCGTTTTCCCATATTGAAACGAGCAATAATATTCATAAATGATTCTGCTTTGTTGGTTGTTTCGTTGGCTAAAAGAAGGTGTGCTTTTGTTAAAAGTAAATTTAATGCTGCGTATACATGGTGGTGAGCTCCTGATGATGTGACTTTGGAATGTTTGTTAATATCGTTGTTAACATCGCAAATTTCTCTTCAGCAATTTACATGATTACCAAAAACATGTGTTACACTATTTCTTAAATCTTGCTTAAATTGTGCAACGATTCCATCTTTATTAGTGTAAACCGCGAATTGTGCTGCCTCTACCAATTTTTGTATATCACCTATTAAATATTGTCTTGCCTTTAAAGAAACGGTTCTAGTGTTCTTCTTTATGTTGTAAAGATGTTTGCTATAATTTTTAATGCAATGATTTGTGCATTCCGACTTTGTTACCTAAAATTAAAAATACAATAACGTAAACTAGTTTAACAGATATTAAAATGTGTACTTACCTCTACACGGAAAAATTGTTTATTATCCACCACTCAATATAAAATAGAAATATTCAAGAAACAAATCGTTTTTTTATACAACTCCTCCTACTAACTTTTAACGTAATGGAAATAAATCAAAATATTAAAAATTTAATCTTTTGTTACTGTGATGTTCATAATTCTTTTCTCTAATGAGAATGAAACTCACTTTTCTTAAAATGCAAATTAAATTTTTTTTATTTCTTAATACTTTAATAAGATTTACAACCTTAATCTATGAACATTATGAATTTTAAAATCAAATAACTACTTCTTTAATCCTCTAGTCTTATAATAAGTATTATAATAATAAATTGTCTAGACTTAGGTACTTAATACTTATTTACGGAAAGTGAAATCATTTTAATTTAATCCCAGTATTTTTTTCTTATATTGTAAAACAATGAAAATGAGAGCAATTTGTTTTTCTATCTTATGGAGTTAAAAATTCTTTTAAAATCAATATAAGAGGTAAATATTTATTTCCACAGGTATCAACGATATACGCCATCAAATACTATGGGATTTAAACCCGAATCGCCGAATCCAAAGTCCCATTCCTTTATTAATGGTATTAATTTATATACATCATTTTTATAAATCTAAATATTTCGTTTTCAGCTAAAGCAAAAATCTGTCATTTAATTATAGGTGATTATAAATTTTCTCGGTATTTAAAAAAATGAAATTTATCTTTTTTTGAAAACATGGATCTAGCAATCAGTATGTAGGTATATAGAATTAATAAATACAAATAAAAAACTCATTTTTAAAAAATTTTAAAAATAAATAATTATATAATTACTTATTGCTTTGTAATTACTATTTAAATAAAATAAATAATATAACTATATTTTTTTTTGGTATTAAACTATTGATATTCCCTCGCTTTCTTATCCAGATAGAAATAATTCTACGCTAAGAACTCCGTGAGTAGCAAATAACAAATTAAACGGATCGATAATTCATTTTGGCGAGTAGATTATTTTACCAAATATTTGACTACAGGCACTACTGGTTAGGCAGTCCCGCAGTACAGAATTCGACCGCAAATCCTTTGGAGATTCTGTCCTTAAATAAACCCTTTTTTTTTGACAGATAAGTCAGATTTTATTTATGTATAACCGTAGTATGTATGTATTTTAATTGATTCGGAATTTTGTATTAGTGCGCCTATGGAATGTGACATTATATCCTCACTTTTACTGCACTTCTCTTTTATTCAGACTATACAGTAGAGCGTACTTTTAATCTAATGCGCAGAGTTGGGCTACCTTGGTCCCATGGGGTACGGGGGGCTAAACCCCACCGAACCCGCCTTCCGCCGCTTATGTTTGTTACACCTTTTGGCCAATTGTGACCAACATAATTTACCTGTGTAACGAAATATGATGAGTGAGTGATATATGAGTCAGTTTTTTACATACAAAATACTGCTGAACCATGTTGGTACAGATATGTCCTTATTAATTAAAAACAATCAGAAACTTAAAAATACACTTTTCACAAATTAAATTAGCTTCGATAAAATGGGTTTACAACTCTTTTACGTTGTTAGACGTAAAGTATATTCCGTTAATTTGGAGGACTCATAGTATTGCACTACTAATGTAAACTTGGCATCAATGTTCATTCAGATTATTGCATTTCTGTCAAGGACGCTTAGAATGTGAACTCATATTTATCTCGTCGTTGCCAGTTATACAAAATATGTTATAAATATGTTTTGTTATAAATCTTTTCATTTTTTTGGCCATTAGACGTAAACTATTTAACGACTGGTTAAAAGTCATGAAACAACATCAAATACCGTTTACTGAAAATTGTAGTCCTGTATCGGTTTTGGGTGAGCCCGTTCAAATCCGTTTGTGGCAACTAGATGGACTACCGAGAGACAATTTGTCAACTGAAAACGCTGTTTTAGTGGCCTGCTCGAGAAGATGGCCACTATTCATCGATCCTCAAGGACAAGCGAACAAGTGGGTGAAAAATATGGTAAGAAAAGTAATGTTTTGTCCAACTGACAATAAAATTACATTAATAATTGGTTGCAAAGGAGACGTAAAAACGACTTCTTTTTTGTGAATTTTTTTTTTTGGAAAAACTGTTTAACGCTGACTTCGTATCAACAATTTTACATTTTCTCATAGGTACAATAGTTTGGACTTGCCAATAACAAATTTGATATTGCCACGTTGCCACATCTTTCATCTCACATGGAAAATGTCACTATCATTTTCAAGTTAGTACTACATTTTAACTGAGCCTTGAAATTATCGAACTGAAGTAATTGTTTGACAGTTCAAACTTAAAAATGATGATGTTTCCATGGTTACGAAAGTCGAAGAATGTCGATCCGAATATAACCAATTTTTACTTTTGTATAGTAAAGTGGGGCAAAATGGGTTGCCCCACATCACCCAGGTCTCACTAGGCCCATTATGCATCCTCCAGGGAGGGGCATTTAGAATCTACCTCAAAGATCATCACCCAGACAACACACCAAATCCCAGAGATATCCGCAGAATATTTTTTGTGGATATCCAATATATCCACAGGATATCAGAAATATTCCGTGGATCTAATATGTATATCCAAATGTCCGTCTATATCCAGGATATAGAAGATATCCTAATGGATATTCAGCAAAATATCTAATGGGTATCTTCCAGAAAATACAAGAAATCACAGAGATATCCACAGAATATATTTTGTGGATATTCAATATATCCAATATGGATATCCAACCAAATGTCCGTCTATATCCCAGGATATAGAAGATATTCGGATATTCAGCAAAATATTTTATGGGTATCTTTAGTAGAGGTTCATAAGTAACCAATGATTATTGAATAACGTCGAAAGAAAATAGCAGAGATAAAAAATATTTTCAACACTCTGCCTTTGATTTTGCCCACTAAGGAGAAAGTCATCCTTATTAGGACTCTTCAGCAATAAATGAAAATTCTCGACTCCAGTCTCTAATGGATTGATTAGGACACACATTTCGATCGAACTCAATTACGGCGGGTCGAGCATGAGTAGATGCGATAGTGGTATCGCCATCTATACTTAGTAAGCATAATCAAATAACATCTAGTGGATATCCACGATGGTTTGCGTTCGCGCCTATAGACTTTGATATATTTAGTGGATGTTCATGGAATATTGAATACACCTTAAAAAAATTAATTTTAAATATCTGAACGGTACTATTAGTCACAATGGCGAGCACAATGGCGTAATTTTTTAATAATTTGCTATATAATTACTATTATTTATGGACATTTGCATGTCTATAAATTACATTTCATGGATATAAAATAGATATCTACCATGGACTGGACATTCAGTGGTTATTGGGATGTTCAGTAGATATCCAAAGGATTTGGTGTGATGTCTGGGCAGAGACCTTGGTGGTTGTGGTTAGGGATAGCAAGCTTCTCGGCTCGTCAAAGTCTTATACGCTAATAACGTCGTCTAGAGGTGTCTCTAGATGCCCTCATTTTTTGGAACTACCCATTTGGTGGGCTTTTCTACCACCCCGATGGTAAATGCTCGGGTAGAGCTCTTCTAACGTCTGCTCCACATGGTGAAAATTTTTACTATTGGCTTGTTTTTACAGTTAGACAAAAAATATATGTTTTTTTGCGATTGAGGGCCAGTCTTTTCACCTCAGAGTAAGGTTGAACGTAACTACTTGCTGAGTAAACTATAGGGCTATTGTTTGTTGATCTTTTAAGTAAACCTACATGTAACTTTATTTAGAGGTGAAAAGGCTGATCCATAATTGACAATCTCATGCGCCTCTAAAAAAAACGCTGATATCGCGCCCTTTATATGAAAATAACTATGTGACTTATTCCGTTCAGTTAAGTGTCAAGTTTAAGTCACTGATGCCATATTATAATAATTTATATCATATTTGCTAGATACATACAGCTGATGTTTTAATAGTAGTTCACGTTATAAGCCCGTTACCTAGATCTTTACATGACCGTGCGAGCACCTAGAGATCAGGTAACGGGTGTGTGTAAGTACATTGTATAGGCAAAGGTTTACAAAAAAAAAGTTTTAAATTAAAATTTTATTAAATAAATTATGTTACCAGTATGTTAATAAGAAATATAGCAAGTGCCCCAGGCTCCAAAATAACGCAGGGATATATTTTTTTAAATAGCGCAACTTGTATATCTTTCAATTTTTCGTTCCCTATTAAATTTAAAATGTTGGGTTTTAATTAACAGTGCTGTTCATAGATTGGCGCTGGGAAACACTAACAAAGCCTTCTTAAAACACAAGGTTAATAACCTTAGTAGTTGATGCCGATGACACGGAATCAAAAAAAATATATTCAATTCTCATAGTGCTAAAGTTATTAACGTATGATTCATAAGTCTTGCAAAAAAGTTTTCAGGTTCATTATGGGATGCCTATATAATATCACAAGATGGCTATGGCTATGGAAACAAAAGTTTGTTTGGTCTTTAAGCTTCAATTTGACATTTACAGACTAATTTTTTTGTTCATTCATAACGTTCGTATGAATTAGAAATCCAAAAAAGTATTTACAATTTGGTTGGGCAAATGCCTAAGGTTGAAATTTTTCGAATTTTTCGAGACCGATATATATCGGTGAGTACCATATACCGGACCATAGCAGATTGCAAACAGGGAATTCTATGCAAAAATCTGCCGAAAACTGGAAGACCACGTCTTTTCAATCCTTAGCAGTGCCGTAGAATAGCGAGAAGAACAAAAAATATCCAGAGCGAATATAACTTCTCATAGTACAATTTGCAAAATTTTAAAAAGAAGTGTCAATTATATCGTAAAAGATAAAAATGTCCCAAGTATACCCCTAATTAGGTGGCCAGAATATCACGATGCTGCCATATATTGGTCATGTTAGGGGTGAAGCACTAAATAGCAGGCGCTATATTGATAACTGTTTAAAAAAATTGGACAACTTTATTGAAGAGAATCATGCTGCTGACGAAATGATGTTTTGGCCCGACTTGGGCATCATATCATTATACGAGACAAACGCAAAACTGGCCTAGACAACGGAATATTCCATACGTTCCGAAAATTCATAACCCTCCCAAATTACCCCAGGCTCACCCTATCGAAGATTTTTTTGGCACTATTGTCACAAAAAGTGTACGACTATGGATGGTCTGCTCAAAACGGAGACCAACTTCGACTTAGAAGTATGTCTAAGGTTCGAGAATTTGACGCTGAGGATGCCCAAATACTTGTGAAGAACGTTCGTAAGAACTTGAGGCTTGTGGAGCAGGGACCACTACATATTATTAAATAATTAATTTATGTTTTTAGATAGATTCCTTTTTTTATCTTTATCTTTATCGGTTGTAAGCAGGTAGGGTTAGGTTTGGCCCAGAACACCGCGGCCTCTTGGGTCTATTGTATTCCCCTGCTTTCCCCCGTATTCAGGTGCTATCTTTGAAATAGTCCTGTGTCTTTGGTTAGTTTTAATAGGTTCCCTACCAAGTGTTCCTGGGGCGTTCTTTCCGGTTCTAGGCCGAAAAGGATGAAACGTCGCCCAGTAAGAGCTTCGCATTCGAAGATCACATGGTATGAGGTTTCTTCCTCTTCCATGCAAAGTCTACACGTAGTGGGATCATTGTGTAATCCCATTACATGAAGGTGTTTCAGCAAGCAGTGCCTCGTTAATAATCCCACAATGGTGGATATCTGAGGCCTTGCGAATTGTAGTGCCTCAGTAGCCATGCGTGGGTTTGGTCCCCTTAGCATGAGCTTACTAATTCTGTGCCCTCTTATCTGTTGACAGTGAATTTAGTGTTTTGGTTATCCACCTGTTCACTGCCTGTCGAGCAGAGGTTTTGCTTATCCCAAATACAGGTTCGGGTCCTGTGAATAGTAGATATGATCCCTCTTTGGCGAGTTCATCAACCTTTTCATTTCCTTGGATACCTTTGTGCCCTGGTACCCACGCTAGTTTTACCTTGTTGTGGGTTGCTAGATCATTTATTATTCCAAGTCAGTTCCAGACAAGCTTTGACTTGATTCTGTTTGAATCAAGAGCCTTTAAAGCTGCTTGGCTATCTGAGAAAATTAGGATGGTTTGTTTTTTGTACTTCCTTCTTAAATTCTCTCGTACACACAATTCGATTGCATGTATTTCAGCCTGAAATACAGTGGCATGTTTTCCCAGTGAGACGATGATGTCGCATATGGGTTTAACTCCATGTACGCCAGAGCCTGTTCCCTTGTTAGTTATTTACCTCGTTTCAGTTGCAGTTGACCTGGAAGAGTCTGTTAAAGGTTAGGAGGGGTGTCATGTGATCTGATCCCATATTTAATATATAATCATTTACTTCATGTGTTATTCTGGTATGTTTTATAAGTCCCAGTTGGTTCCAGTTGTTGGAGATTTCCAGTCTGTATGCACTCATTCTGGCCTCCCCCTTTATGACTAGGTCAAGGGGTGGGAGGTTTAGAATGATTTCCATAGAGGCTGTTGGTGTACTTCTCAGTGCTCCTGTAATACAAAGGTATGCCAGTCTCTGTACTCCTGAGAGGGTATTGAGGGCTGTTTTCTGGTTTACTTTTGGCCACCAAACAACCGCTCCATAAGTTATCATGGGTCTTGTTATTGCCAAATATAGCCAGTAGACCATTTTTGGTATTAATCCCCATGTTTTTTCAAATGCCCGTCTCCCTACAATGAGAGATATTTTACATTTGTTGGTCACTTTTTGTAAGTGTTGGTTCCAAGTAAGTTATAAGATTCCTAGTTGTAAGGAAAAATAGTTTTTGAATAAAGTTATTTCAGTTTGAAAATATTTGGCCTTAGAAATTTTCGCAAAACTTATGAACCATACGTTAGTTTATTTAAAAAATATTCCTACCCTTGCGTTACCGACTTATACTGATAACTTGGTTTATTTCATAAAACTTTTCATACATTGAATAACAAATTACCTTTTCTTTTTGTACACACTTTTTAT